GCGACCTGTCCAAAAAGCCCGATGAATCAAAAAGTATATTATCCTACTAACACATCTACAATCGAAAAGAATCTATCCAAACTCAACACAAACTATAATAGACTCAATCAATATTAAAGAAAACAATAAGCTAAAACCTGGAGGAGGAATTTACCCCATCACCCGTAATAATTGTCACAAAAATAAATATGAGAAACCTCAAGGAATCTAAATAAAAGATTATATGTACACGAACGGGACATTTTACAAAACAATACGTCAAATTCTTTGGTTGGCCACTATAACGAGACTAACACCAATTCTGAGATAAAAATGCTACTCTGATCAAAGGAGGAAAACAATTCACTATAGCGTAAATATCTAGCGAGTTCTTTGATCGCAAGGCCAGCTACAGTAAATTTACGTTCTTGTTCTTACAACATGTCACCATTTCTGGCAGATCTTCTGTTATCACAGTGTGGGATACCTACTAACAAAATTGATGGAAAGAAAGATAAATGACTGTAAATAATTTCCGCTGGATATATATATATATATATATATATATATATGAATTCTAAAATTACCAACACCCCTCATTCGTGCGCATGTGTAGTATGACCAACATAATAAATTTAATCCGATTGTATCTTATTATTAAAGAGGTAAAGCTGATGTTTGACAATTTCTTCCTGTGATAAAATCTTAGACAAAACAAAAATGTTCCTACTCTTAGACCGGTTGCCACACAAGTCTATAGTTTGTCCTGCTATTTACCCATAGCTGAGATAGAGAGAAGATTGATGGATTTTCCAAGGCTGTTTGCACATTACAAAGCCGAAAATAAAAATACCAATTCCATTAAAGAACAACATAAAACAATAATTATTCGAAAACAATCCGGTATCTTATGATATTTAATGTCATGCATATAATAGTATAATAAGGAAAAGCATATCTTAATCGTAACTTATTAGAATTTTCAAAACATTGGTATGTTTATATATACATATATATATATATATATATATATATATATATATAAGTCTCAAACACTTATATTCCATGGTTATAAATTATCAGACCTCCAAATTCAAAAAGCTGATGAATTAGATCGTGATTAGGATTCCAATGTAAGAAATTATAACCATGAAATATTAGTGTTTGAGCCTTTTATATTATATTCTTGCTCTGTCCTGGACATTGAGCTCTACCTGGATTCTATCCTCTTGGAAATATATATATATATATATATATATATATATATATATATATATATATATTATTGACCACTAATATTATCTCTCTCTCTCTCTCTATATATATATATATATATATATATATATATATATTTCGAACGTGTATATATATATATATATATATAGATATAGATAGATAGATAGATAGATAGAGAGAGAGAGAGAGAGAGAGAGAGAGAGGAAGAGAGAGAGATTGCGAAAGATGCCTTCGCAGATTCGCTAAAAAGTGAGCATACTATGATGAAAAAATGCCCCAAACTTAATAAAAACAAAGTCAAAATGTTTATGTCATTATTAAGAGGAACGACTAAAGGATTTATTTGTTTATCAGTAAATTATATTTTTTTATACTTCTTAGAACGTTCGAGATTTTCTCGTTTTCTTGCGTCAGCAGAGGGAACAAAGACTGTATAGGAAATTTTAGCATTTTTTGCGGTGAAAATCACATTAATTTGGAAATTCTTGCAAGAATCAAATAATTGTCAGAGTTTAATGAAATTTTCTGGACTTATTCACAAATTAATAAAATTATTTTAGAAACGTTTCTTTTTTAGAAAATCTTGGTAATTTCTTTTTTTAAATCTGTTATCCCTCACTTATTTAATTTTATTAAATTTAGAGATATTAAATTTTATAAAGTTTAATGTTGATATTAGTTAAAACAGAATTCAATTCATCAATTTTTTTTAATAAAACATGACCTCAAGTTACCGAAAATCTTCACTGATTTGTAAAAAGACATTATTTAATTAGAAAAGCTTTTAATTACTTTTATGAATAAGATATAGTATAGACATTATTGTTTTAAGAATTTTTTTACGATGAATAATGAATTTTTACAAGAATTCTTTTAATTTTTTTAAGTTTTAATTAGAATAATTTATAAAGTTTTAAATCTTTTAAAATCTGTATTTAGGTAATATTGTTTTTTTTTTAAGTAAAAACTATATTTACTAATCATAAAAAAAAAGCTTACTACAATTCATCGAACACAATATTTTTAAAGGAACTTTGAATGTTTTTTGTGTGTGCACAAACGTGGAAACTTCTGTAAATAATGTTGTCTATATGTGACATTATGAGAAAATAAGAGTGATAACTATAGTAAATTTAAAGCCGAAGTACCTAAAATTCAATAAAACATTAGATTACAGAGAGTATTTTCCTAATTTTATGAGATTACTGGGTAGGTAAAACTTATATAAAAATGGTGCTTACGTTATCAAGTAATTTTTACAGATATATCCGCTGTAGAAAACAATTAGATAAACTTCCATTTGTCAAACTGTCAACAACTTAAATAAACACCTACCACGGGGTTAAAATGCATTTCTGCCATATATTAAACTTAAAGTCAGTAATATTTCTTTCAAATCAGATTAATTAAATTTTAAATGAGTTATTATCCCTCAAATAAACATTCAGCAAATTATATGTTATTTTTGAAAAAAAAAATATTTTGATGACAGATGACTATAAATGAGGCTAAAATCAGCGATTTTCAAATAAACACTTATTTCCAATCAATTTAAACTAGTTTTGAAATACAGCAAAGTATTGTCTTATTGGAAATATTAAATTTAAATCTCTTAAATTAAATCTAATAGCTTGAAATTAAACTCTCTTCTGGCTCCATGCTTTCCAGCCAACTTTAATCTGCAAGAATTTAAATGCAATCGCTATCTACTAACAATCAATCGCTTTCTACAGTCCTCCTGATTACTCTCTTCTCTTTTTGCTCATCATTAATGTTTCTGTTCCTAATTTTCCACAATCTGTAACCCCTTGTGTTTTAGTGGCATTACTGCTTTGCTTGGGGTGATTTCGATTTATTAAAAAAATCGTAAAGAATAAAATAAAATAAAAGTTTCAAGAATGCTTTTTCATTTTTAAAGATTCGTTTTAAAACTTGTATACCGCGTTCTTGTGATGACACCTATATATATATATATATATATATATATATATATATATATATATATAAATAACGGGGAAGAATGACTGACACACTTAGATCCGATAAGCGACCAAATTAGTGGTTCGCTAGACAACTCAATGTTAGGGTGGGTGCAGGTAAATGTCAAAATTGGAACTGTTTGTTCTGTTTTTCGTTGACAACGTGGAATTGCCATGGAAAAACCAGACGGACAGACAAATTATCGTAACAGAAGGTGAGAGACAGTAGGAAGAAAAAGACAAGTGTAGAATAGAAAACGGAATGATTATCTAACAAGTTCGTTGTCGGATTTATTTTATTCCAGTGTTTGTTTCTCTCTCTGTCTCTGTCTCTTGTTTTATTTTATTTTTTTTATCTTTCTCTTTAAATTATACACTGTCAAATGTTAGCAAAAGCAAGCTACATTAAATTTCAATAGTTTTTCACAGAACTGACTTTGTTGGACAGTGATAACACCGATTGTATTTTGTACAATTGTTGATCGATTGCCAAGAACGATACTTCAATCAGTAATCCTCTTCCTGATATCAACATTTTTTCAATGTGAGAATGTTCTATCGCGAGAAGAAAGAGAGAAAGAGATGGTGGGGTAGAATTTTAAAAGTACTCGTTATAAGTCATGATATTTATTAATATACTAACTTTGCACATACTATAATGGTCATACAAATCATCTGAGAGGCCACATTCTGCCTCCTATCAGCGTGGCTGATGCTAACCTCTAGGAAAGTGACACGTTGCATATTCTATGGCTAAAATTTTCCGATGAAAAGTGGGAAAATTATATTGAATCAATTACTAAATCTGCTGCTAGGAAAGTTGGTTCACTGTGTCGTACTAGACAATTGTTCTCGCCAGAATATATCTATATGTCTACTATTCGTCCTTGATTTAAATATTTGGTCTGGTGCTCCCGCTATATATTTAAATAACCATAATAAAATCTAAAGAAGGCTCAGCAATATTAATGGCCCTGAGCTGAGTCTTGTTATCCGTCACTTTCGCAACGCAGTAATGTAGCTTTCCTATGCCTTTTTTCTATAAATAAATCCATGGTATTTGTACGGATTAATTTTCATTATGGTACCTAGACTTTATGAATTTAAGCGCAGTACTGGATTAGCAACAATACCTCATCATTTTACAATTGAAATGAATCGATGTAACCGTAAGTTCTATGCCAAGAATTTCGCTTTTCTTCTCGCATGTGGACCTCTCTTCCCTCTTCTTGTTTTCCAGCCAAAAATTTAAATGCAATGTCAGTTGTTATCATTTGTCTTCATAATTCCTGTTCTTTTATTATTCTCCCCTTAATAGTATTTTTCTTTTTACACATATTCTCTAACACACAGTAACTCCTTGCCTCTTAGTAGTTTGATTGCCTTGTCTGGGGTGAAATGATAAAAAAAAACATGAGTAACGAAGACAAAATGGATCGGCGTCAGCAAATATAATATTAAGTGTTTCTCTATAGTCTTTATTGACCGAACAACTTACGTTATTGAGGGTTGACATTTTAAAATCTTTTTTTTTTTTCTTTTACAAGAAACCAAATTTCTTGAGTACTCGGATTTTTTTTTTCAGTATTGATGAAGGTTTCCTTCCTAACATTTTGTATTTGATAATGTGGAAAATTAAAATCTTCATTATCATTATTTTTTCTTTTATTTAGATGTGCTACTCATTTTTATTGTTGTTGTTGTTGTCGCTATTTGATAAATATCTTTCTGATATTGCGGCGTCAATCTCTAAGGTCGATGGACATCTTTAAGAAAAGATTCATTGCCATTTTTAATCATTGAGGCTTACGGCCACATTATGTTGAAACACCGTTTCCCGTAAGATCAACAAAAGTAAGCAACGTTGAACCTGGGCAGTACCTAGATGGGTGACCGCTTGAGAATACCAGATGTTGCAAGCTTAAATATGCAGGTGATGTTGCAAGCTTAAATATGCAGGTGATGTTGCAAGCTTAAATATGCAGGTGATGTAATGGATAACGGTTCAAAATTGTTAATCGCAGAGCCGATTTCCACTTCACCTTGAGTTCATTACATCCACTTACGCGCAAATACCCTTGGGAAATTTAGTAATCCACCTCTTCTCCCCCCTGGCTATGGGTAAATTAGTAAAACTTATATCACTAAACTATTATCTCAAAAATATTCTTACAATCTAAAAAGTACTTTCTGGCTTTAAATAGCCTGCAAAGGATCGATAAGCCGTAGATGACGAATCAATCAATAATTTTAATCATTGATCTGTATTTCTGTATTTTCCTACTAGTGTCGAGTAAGCTACACAGTTATTGATATTTGCTTAACTCGATACAGCAGAAAGCCACAAAAATCATCCAGACAGATTCGAACTCTCTTAAGTAAGAATGATTTTCAAGTCAAGCAATTTTTTTCTGCCGGGATAATTACAAATCTTAGCGTGGCATAGATTTCCTATATGGAGCTGCACACAGTGTGGTTTGATCTCAAAACACGACTTTTGATAATTTAATCTAACAAGCTAATAGACGACGACTGATTTTCGGAACTGTCTTTCACGCCACAATCTGTCAGGTTATGTGAAATCAGTTCTCTGATATGACAGTGAATGCTGAACAATCTCCTCACAGATGAAGAAGTGACTTGAAGCAACATAAATATGGTTCTACAGAATGATACTGAGAACATCATGGAACAAACATGTGGGCAACGATGAAGTTTTAAAGAAAATGGAAACAAAATGGACACTTGTGCTATTACAGTGAGCTGAAATTTCTAGCGCACATAATGTAGAAAGAGGGCTTGGAAAATTTGATACTCAGATTGAAGGCAAGAGGGACAGAGGAAAACAACGCATAAACTACACAGCGAGCTCGAGCAAATGTATGGCAGAACAGGGTTTAGGAGAGATCACAAAAACGACAGAATTTATTCAAAGTTAAAAAAAAAAAAAGACATCGCTTACGGCTCCATTACTTTGATTAGCGTAAGATCACCGAAGTTAAGCAACCTTGAGCCTGTTCAGCACCTAGATTGGTGACCGCTTTGCAATATCATGTTTTGTAAGCTTGGATCTGCGAATAATGTATTGAGTAATGGCTCGGAATTATTGATCGATGAACCGATTTCCAATTCCCGTTGGATGAGTTATGTTCACTTAAGCATAAATAACCTTAGAAAGAGTAGGAATCCACCTCTTCCCCCACAACTATGGGTTAATTAGTAAGACTTATATCACTAAATCATCATTATCTTCCAAGATATACTTACAATCTAAAATATTTCCCGGCTTTAAATAACCTACAAAAGGTTGATAAGCCGTAGAAAGCGAATTATTCAATCAATATTAACTTACGCGTATATACCTTTAGGGAAGGGGACAGCTCGAGGCGGTGTAATGGTTAGCAAGCTTGTCTCGCTTGAACAATTGCGACTAAGTAGTGAGTCCGATCCTCATTGGGTACCCGCTGGTTTCGGCCTTGTGACACATCTAACGCTTGGAAAATAGCTATACCCTTAGGAAAGGAATAAATCCACTTCTTTCCCTCCAAATATGGGTTAATTAGTAAGGTTTATATCACTAAAACATTACCTCAAAAATAAATTTCTTACAATCTAAAATGTTTTCTGGCTTTAAATAACGAGCATAAGTTTGATAAGCCGTAGAAAATAAATAAACAAAAAAGGACAGGAAATTGTGGAGAGCCATGATTGCCAACGTCCTGAAGAGACAGGACACATACGAGTAGTAGAAGTCTTTCAGTTATGTTATAGTTTGTTATACGATACTAAATTTTAAAATTAGCGTGACTCTTACGAAATTCATTTCCTTTATTATTTGTGAATTCTCATGCCTCATTTGGAAAGTTTTTTTTTTTTTAAGATTTGGAATTTTGAGTATTCCTTCTCTAAGATTTATTTCTATCCAAAGCTAAAGTGCACAATATACCCTGCTATAAGATCTATAGATGGAGAGGCAATACGAATTCATGCCTTACCCAAAGGTATTATTGCGAAAGTGAACGCAAATTACTCGCCCGTGATTTGAACTCGATACGCTGATACCGTGTTTCTTGCCCATATCCGTTCTCTACATCGTAAAACAATAATATTACGGTAGATCTTGCTAATGGGATACCAGTCGTTGTGGTAGTCACTTAAAAAAAAGAAAAAAAGCTAATTTTGACCATTTTAAATTATTGACCGATTGACTAGCAATGGATTGTTCGAACTGACCTGCATGAGAAACATTTCCCTTGACAAATAATCACAGAGTAAAAAATAGTACGAGAACGGTGGGGGGAGGAGAGAGGTGGAGTCTGCCTCGTTTTGATTTAACACTGGTTGACATAGGTTGGTGTTCGAAACCAGTAAGAGGATGGCTTTCGAATGCTGAATTTCTTGGAAGGAATTTCTCACCCAGTTCCTTCCATTTGGCATTAATCCAATCTTACTAAATGTGGTGACGTTGTTGAAGATGTGTGTATAATGTTACTTTAGTTCAGGCCCCTGCTTTATTGCTGGTGTTGTATTAATTACGAATGTCAAAGGTTTGTGTTTGAGTCCGGTAAATGCATGGATTTTTAAATGGCTGCTTTTCTTGGAAGATATACCTTGTCCACTTGGTGGTTTGGTATAACACAATCGTTCTCAAACCACAATACACTATATTTGGCCTTGTGCCGTATTAAGCTAAGCAGAATAATCAGAAAGAAAGAAATAAAGAAAGAAAGAAAGAAATATACGAACTCAGATAAAACCAGGATTTCAAATTCTGATTTTTCCAGACAGTGATTTCTTCCCGACCTTGATCTAATGGCACAGTACAATCTTCCTCATCCTATTTCCTCCCAATTGTCCGTGTTAAGCTAAGGTTAGTAAACATCAAGTCAGTTTATATTATTGACGCAACACAGTCTTTCTGAAACACATATTTGATTATTAAACACAGGAAATATTGCAAGTGGAACAGAATGAAACATCAAATAACTGCCTAAAATGGATAGAACAGGGAATGGCGGGTATATTAAATATAGGAAGCTGTAGAGAGTCATGTCTATTCTCATCCTGAAGGGAGACACCACATAAAAAAAGTCATTAGAAAGCAAGCAAGAAAGAAAGAAAGAAAAAAGAAAGAAAGAAAATGAACTCAGATAAAAAGCCCAATTTTCCACTACTGATTTTCAAACCAGACACTTGCTCTCAATTTTGAGTGATTGGTGCAACACAGTCTTCTTTAAATATGAAATAACTGCCTAAAATGGATAGAAGAACAGGGAATGGCAGGTATGTTAAATATAAGAAGCTGTGGAGAGTTATGTCTATTCTCATCCTGAAGGGAGACGCCACATAAAAAAAAATCATTAAAGAAAGAAAGAAAGAAAGAAAGAAAGAAAGAAAGAAAGAAAGAAAGAAAATGAACTCAGATAAAAAGCCAAATTTTCCACTACTGATTTTCAGACCAGACACTTGCTGTCAATTTTGAGTGATTGGCGCAACGCAGTCTTCTTTAAATATGAATTCGTTTTCTACGGATTGTCAAAACTTTGCAGGTTAATTAAAACGAAAAAATAATTTTACATTGTATGAATTTTTCGAGATAATAATGATTACTAATAACCATAGCTTTGGGGGGGGGAGAGAAGAGGTGTTTTCATATTTTTCCCCAAGGATATTTGCGCGTAAGTAAATATAATTAACGCAACGGCAATTGGAACTCGGCTCTCCAGTTAACAATTTTTAGTCATTATCTCTCACACCAACCGCACATCCAAACTTACAACACCTGGTTTTCTCGCGCGGACACTCGTCTCGGTATTGATAAGGCTCGACGTTGCTTAGCTTTGGTGATCGTAGGGGAACCAATATTTCAACGCAATATGGCCGTAAGCCTCTTTAAATATGGTATGTCATAAATGGCCTTGTGTTTTGCTAAACTGCGTAACAAGAAAGAAAGAAAGAAAGAAAGGGAACGAATCCAGGTAAAAACCACGAATTAGAAAGCTGATTTTCAAGGTAAACTTTCATTAAGCAAAATAATACATAGCAAACTTAACGAGCAAAAACCTTTATTTTCACCTTTATTTTGCTGATTAAAAAGTGACTCGTAAAGCAAGAGTGTATGTGTTTTTTTTTATTATTCAGGTTTCCATAAAATTTAAGCCCCCGCAGAAAGCATACATTTATTTTCTTTCTTTCTTTCTTTCTTTCTCTCTCTCTCTCTCTCTCTCTCTCTCTCTCTCTCTCAGTCTATCTATCTATCTATATATCTATCTATCTATCTCCGGAAACGAAGAGCTAATGACGAGAAGCTTAACTGAGTTTGATACAAGGTCACAAATATAGAGCATTCAATGATGAGTTAATAAACACAGTTGTTAGTGATCTGTCTAATTTACATATCCTAAACGGTGAAACGGAGGAAGGGCATTCTTGAATGCTCTTTTTGTTCTAAATGGCGAAAATTCCCTCCAGCTGATTACGTTGACATTGCAAATTAGTTGTATAATTCATCCTAGAATAATCACTGACAGGCTGATCTTGCAAAACGCTTTTACTAAAAGAGATCCTATCTATTCTACCAGTATTCTGCTTTTATGGCTTTGAACAAAACTAAACTAAAATTTATTATGTACAAAAATAGGACTGATCCGATGTTCATATATTTCGCATTTAAACCGATGGCCTTTGCTCTAGAGTAATTTAAAAGAAAAATAGACTATTGATTTGGAATGTTGGCACAAGAAAATCTTCCTGAACACAGTTATCTTACTTAAACTTGTATAAAAACAAACGCAGTAAATATTTACATAGACATTATGCAAACGGGTAAAAAGACACTGATGTGCCAAAAGTCATCTAAGTATATAAAGTTAATGGTAGGTGGCGCCAATCTAATATAACGCCATGGAAATTCCCAGACCGAAATCAGCTGTGTTCTAGTTTGTAAATATGAATACTGGCTAGGCTGCTCATAGCAAAGCGATATGAATTATCGAAGTTCTCAACAAAAAGGAAGAGCCCACAAATGCGAATTACAAATTGGAGATGCTAAAATCAAGGAAGTACTAAAACTTAAATTTCTAGAAAGCTCGAGGAAACGGCGACATGGAAATCCGAAGGCGCATTGGGATAGCAAAGATGCTTTTCAAAAGCAAAGCCAAATATTAAGAAACAGGAAAATCTCGTTCGAAACAAAGAAAAGAATACTGAATTGTTATATAATATCGGTCGTCATATATGGCAGCGAATGCTGGATAATCTTCCCACAGACGAAAAAACGATTTAAGGCAAAAGAAAAGGATGCCAAGAATGCTATGGACTGAACATTCGAGCAACGACAAAGTTTTAAAGAAAATGGAAACAAAAAGGATATTTATACGTAGCATCAGATGGAGACAGTTGAAATATTTAGGGGATATAATAAGGAAAGACGGCTTAGAGAATTTAATACTGACAGCACATGTTGAAGGTTGGAGGGACAGAGAAAAATATTGCGATATTCAGCTATCCCCCCCACATGGGATTGCATGTGGCACAAGGCCGAGCTTATTGTGGGTCATCCGTAGGCTTGGTCAAAAAATCCTCGAAGATCCCGTATAAAACGGGGTCGGGTAGGTGTTTCCCGAGATGTGACTCTGCCCTTCAAAATAGCCTCGTCTGTGAATCCTCTCTGCTCGGAGGCAGAGAGAGTTTCACCAGCACAGCTGGAGACGAATCTCCAACTACAGACCAACATACAGTATTTACTACTGTATTTCTGTGAATGGGGACATGCCCATTATCGTCCGTAGGTATGCTACAAAAATAACCCATCTACTTTATTGTCGACACATCTGCCAAACAAGCCTACGTTCCTCTTTCAAGCACTAATCATTTCATCATGCGGCAGGGCCATCCAGAGCCGTCCGTGTATAGCTTTTTCTGGGTAAGCTTCATATAATGTTTAGTCTTCTGTTTGCTATGCTTAACAAGGGAATCGACTTCAAGTGGCAAAAAATTAGTTCAGTAGAAATTACTAAATGCTTCCGTATGCGACATCATGGCGTCTTAACTACATTTGGTAATCCAGAGGCTCCGAATAAATCTTTAATACCATTTTGTGGGATTTGGCTTTTCAACCGGGTTACCATTTGTCGAGTAAAAGTTTTCCTTCTCTTTGTTAGGTTGCACATAATCTACAGCCGGTTTATAATGAATTTATTGCTCCTACGATTACCTATTGAAAATAATTTTCTAAGTTCTCATGTTGTCTAATGATTCTGAGAAATTTGAACAATTTTGCCTGGTCATCATCTCTCAAACATGCATACAAGTTGAAACAGTGGCAATAAAGCAATATCACCAAAATGGCGGTCATTTGTTTACTGTTGCGCAGAACCACACGTTAGTGAACAAGTTTGCGCATGTCAGTGATGCCAAAGCTTTTGGCTGAATTAAGTTTAAATATATGCCAGCAATAAGATTTATTATCTTTTAGTTAGTACTACATATGGTTTAAAAAGAATATGCAAACATATGGCTTTTTATATAACAAAACTTGAGTAATATATGTATTTTTCATAGCTTGCATATATTATTTGTAAATGACACGTTTTGTGTGGAATGAAAAAGGAAAATAATTTTTTTTTTAAGATTTCTAAAAGAACTTCATGATTTTTCGAGCATTAAGAAGAAAATAGCTTTGAGGATATTTGCCTTGTTTAAACACATGCAACCAATTCGATACATAAATCAAAGAAAAAAACACTAGAAATCAATCAAAAAAAGTAAATTTCCTTTGTCAATTCGCCTAGTATATACAACTTAGTTTTAGAACAAAAATTTTAGAACATGACCGGATAATGATCTTTTGATGTCCGTAAACTAAAGAAATTCTGGAGCTCCGGTCAGACGGAGAAATCCTCTAACTCACCTGCATTCTTCTTGAATATTTTTTACTTGTGATATATTTTAGTGACATTTACATTGCTTGTTGCAAATTCTTTAAATAAACAAGAATATCTATATTTTGTTTGTCATTGAAAATATTCTTTAAGAAATACCACTATTTACTATTTAAAACCAACACAACCGCAGTAAAGTAACATTTTCTTATAACTAGTATTATAACTATATAAATATTATCAATCAAAATATATAAGTTCATATCATTTCAGTTTATGAAACTATTTAGAAATTATAACATCTAGAAAATTAAAATCACTGCTTTATGAAAAAAATAACATTCTGAACTGTGTTAGTCTACTTGAAGCACAATGATACAAACTAAAGTCCTTCGAACTCAAATAAATAAACGGACCACGTTGCATACAAATTGAAACGAAAACAAAAATGGCAGTCATTTGCTTACTCTTGCGCAGTATGGCACGTTAATGAACAAGATGCGCATTTCAATGATGACAAAATGTTTGATGATCGAATTAGGTAAAACTGTCGTCATTGTCGTTGTAGACCGACTTTTCAGACGAATCAAACCGTACCTTTCATGAGTAAAGGATTATTGTATGTCTGACTAGACCAACACGAAAATGGCGAACGTTTCCGAAGAAATAGGATATCTGAAAAAAAAACCTTGACTGACAGTTTTGGAAAAATTTTGCGTGTATCTTTGACGGCGTTCCTCTTCCCGCTGAACTAATTTTACTTCTTGCTTGAACAGGGAACATTCAGCGTTTGAACGATGTCTGCATGGGCACTGTTTAGTTTCGAGTACATTCAGCCAATAAGATATTTTAAAGAATGTAACTTCCATAAAATGTTGTAACGCACTGTATACTTTATACAATGGACCGTTCATTGCAGTATTCATTGATGAATTTAAAACTTTTATCACGTTATTTTCTGTTAAGAAATATGCTCCCAAACTTTTAGAAACAGTGTTGAGATGAATATTAATTTCAGCCAGTATTTAACCAGTTCTGAAAATGCATGTCGTCAAAGTAAATGCCTTAGTTTAAATAAAAGGTAGCGTCATATCGAACGAAATCAAGAGGATTACTGAAAAATGTAAAAGAAATAAAACTTGATCATCTCCCTAAAGACTTTATTGAACTGCGTGTTGATTGGATAGCAATCATCTTCTCGTTTCCATTTGCTTAGAAAGATATATTTTGCTTCTGAATGGTGAGAAGAAAAATAATAGAAAATTCAAATCATTGTAATTCGGGCTTTAATAAGAAGACAATGATGTCTGTTACATATTTACTATGGCTATTTCGACGACTTAACTTCACCCAGCATGCTCATCGGTTGCGTTTACTAGGGGGATGCGGCTGAAAAGTTCACAGCCCGAACAAGATCTTTAAAAAGATACCGTGTTCATTCAATTGGTCAAAATGGAAAGTAACGTCATAGCACAAAACAGGACACACGCAAGCGCGTGTGCGCACACACAGACAGAGAGACACACACATATGTGTGTGCGTGTATAATATATATATATATATGTATATACATATATATACACATATATATATATATATATATATATATATATATAAATTTGATATATATTTTATATATGTGCGGTGCTTATTAGAAAACACTCAATATCAATGCTAGAACGAACATATTTAGTTGAATAGATATGAGTTTGTAACTGTGTGTTAATTGGTATGCTTTTTGGGGGTTATGGGTATGGTGGTGTTTTGTCTAAGGATCGCATAAGCGTAAAACCCAGGGTCACAAACTCTTATCCATTCAACTATACATACATATATATATATATATATATATATATATGAACAGTACAAAACCTTTTTACGCCAAAACGTTTCGATCCCCGAGCCAAGTATATATATATAATTGAATGTTGTTTCTCAGACCAAAACTAGAATACAGGCTCGTTTACTGACATTCTTCGTATTTTCGCTAGTTAAAAAACGGAT